CACTGGCTGTGCTGGTTTGGGCCTCATTGCCGGCTGCAGTCAAGTCCTCATCTCATATATAAAACACCTGTGATTCACAAATACTTAAGGAACTCGCATTCACATAAAGTAGCCTTGTTGACAAGTTTGGGTGAGTAAGGGCAAAACGCACAAGATGCAGTACTTTCAGTGACCTGTAATAGGCAGTATCACGTCTTTTGTAGCAGAAATAAACTGCTGCAGAAAAAGGTAGGTCCATGCAAAATGTAATGTGTAACTGCAACACTCATTTCAAATGTAGTGGAGTAAAGAGTACAGATACTCATTCAAAAATGTAGTGAAGTAAAGAGTAAAAGTTGCTAATATCTTTGATGCTCAGTACAACTACAAAGTACCCGAAAAGATACTCAAGTACAGTAACTAATTACATTTACTCCAATACTTTACACCTCTGCCCTTCAGTCGATCCCCCAGAGAGTGGAACTGACTCTAACCTTAGGAGTACTAAGTTAAATACACAAAGTTTTCAACAAGCAGTGAAGACGTCTCGTTTTACTGTTCTGAGAAGATGTTTGTGCTTTTTCATCGTCGTTGCCCGTTTTTATATGGTTTTCCCAGTGACTCCTATGTGAGGCAGATTTCATGTCAGAGGCACAAGGGTCAGCGCTGCACTAGACCTACATGACAGATCATTTCCTGCAAATGAGTGAGTGAATACGAATATTTTGTCATCACTCTCTGTCTGCACTACATCTCTGAGTGTTTCAGATCAACTTTTTAAAAAAAATTTAATTGTCAGCTAATGCTGTTTTTGTTGTGCACTCATTCCTTGCAGCTTTGTGTGGAATTGATGGCTGTTTGTTTGTGTTTGGGAGTTAATTTCATGTATACATTACAGTACAGTACAGTGTGAAAATATCACTTGCCCTGTCTAACCAAGTGTTCATGAAATGTCTTACATCAGTATCTATAAACCACCCCCATACCCATATACAGTATAATGCCCTATTTGAGGGAGGGACAGCCATTTGAAGTGGTGCCAGAAACCAAAGTGGATGTTATAGAGTGCACTCGTTAAATCCCATAATGCACAGTAACAATGATTTTACAGCCGATGTACATTCAATGGCTAGTGAATACCCATAATGCACCGTAATAGTCGGGTGACAGTAAATGCCGTTCACAATGGAATCATACAGACGTAGGTTACTTTTTTTATTTATTTTTTTTTATTTTTTTTAGTCGTGTAGTACAACTTAAGTTCTATAAAAGATATCAATTTCATTTTGTTACTACTAGAATTTGACAGTTAGGTAAGTGTCAGATGATTATTAAACTAGGTTACTTTTTTTATTTATTTTTTTATTTTTTTTATTTTTTTATTTTTTTTAGTTGTGTAGTACAACTTAAGTTCTATAAAAGATATCAATTTCATTTTGTTACTACTAGAATTTGACAGTTAGGTAAGTGTCAGATGATTATTAAACAGTAAGCACAAACTACTCAAGTCTCCAAATTCACTCACTTTTTTTCCATTCACTCCCTATAGAGGACTGGAGAGGAATAATGTATAGAATAGTAAATGAGGGTATATGGGGGTGATTTTGGATACAGCCCTTGTTTGCAATGGCATATTAAGTGTACTACTTGTATATCCATATATAAATTATGCCTGTGTAGGTCTTAGAAACCATTGCCACTAATTTGCTTTATAAATAAAGTCTGCAATGCATTTTGGGATAAAGTGTCCTATAATTTGCAGTATACTGCACATTTTTGCCAAATGTAAAATGTTTAGTTGTTCCAAGTTTACAGAAAATATGCATACTACCCCCCCACCCCCACAAATGTATGTAGTATGCCATCCAAACATACCTTTTTTTTCTTTTGTGCCTTCTCTTTAACTGATGAGATGATCGAACAGATCAAAACATCAGTGATGAGCTGTTTTCTCATAAGCGCCACCAACTGTTGTCATCCGATGCAAAGTCCAGTGACCTGATTAAACCAAACTCCATGGCCAGTCCTGAAGGTGAGAGGTCACTGGTATTATGGGACCTCTCTGCAACCTTTTGGGACAGGAATGTCAGTGACCACAAAAGACTGCTTTGGCCAGATGATCAATGAAGTCCAAACGCAATCCGTTAAGGTCAGGGTTGAAATCCCCAAAAATGATGCTGTAGTGGATCCAGGTCAGAGGTGCTCTCTACTCAGTCATGTGTGAAGTTTTGAGTCACATTTCGTTCTGTTTAGTCACATTACAAAGAGATATGCTGGCTTGCGTCGCACACAGAAAACAAAAGACCCTGACGAGGTGATCCAAGACTGATGACCCTATCAGGATTTATTTTGCGTCAATGTCTGGCTGACTGTATGTTATGCATTGTTTAGCTCACCTGCTATTTAACTTCTGTTATACTGATAAGCACCTGTTATGTTCAGTGTTGGGAAAAGTTCCTTTTAAAAGTAATGCTTTACAATATTGGGTTACTCCATAAAAATTTACTAATTACGATTATAATTACTTTTTATGGGAAGTAATGCATTACTTTACATTGTCACCTGAGCTGGGCTTGACTTTATTTATTTTAATTTTATTTTTTTTTATAAAAAAGCCTTGGTCTGGAGGAAGTGCCTCTGCCTCTGCACCTCACTCCCAATTTCTCTCAACACTGAGACAGGAGGGACATCAGGGAATAAATGGGGAAACAAAGTAACTTGCGTTAATTATTTGAAAAAGTAACTTGGATATTTTCTTTAAATTTAAGAGTAATAAATTACTCGAGTTACTTGAAAAATTAATCTGATTATGTAACTCATGTTACTTGAAATGCATTACCCTCAAAACTGGTTATTTTCTTAAAGGGATAGTTCAACCAAAAATGAAACTCTCAATTTTCTCATCCTTTGTTTTGATCCAGTCTCGTATGACTTGTATTCTTCTGTGGAGCACAAAAGAAAGTATTTTTGGAAAATGCCTCAGTGTGTTTTTCTCTGTATAATGAAAGTCAATGGAATCCAATACTAATGCTGATTTTGATCTTATTGACTTTCACTGAAAAAAAAAAAAAAAAACGCTCAAAAGCATCCTTCAAAATATCATCTTTTGTGTTCCAAAGATAAAAGGAAGTCATGCATGTTTGAAACTACATAAAGGCAGAGTAAATACATTCTTGGTTAGCTATCCTTTAAAAGAGGGCATTTAGTATAGTAAAGCGTATGGTTGTATGCGAGTTTTGCAGTAGCAGAACTACAGCAGGTGGTCACCAGTCAGGTCAGACAGATGTCCTCTGGCCCGTGGAGGTCATAGTGAACAGACTGAGCTGCGACCTTCGGTGTGCTGAGAAAGCGAAATTCTAGCGCAGTCTCTATCCTCATTGATCGGCCACACTTTAGCACGCATTAGGTTGCACCCACACAACAGCATGCTCTAATGAAATCAATCTGCTGTGGAAATGCCTCACCCGGGTACCGGAGACAGGAGGAAGATTTATAAACCTGTTACTGTACCATCAACATCTGTCATTTGGGATTTTCATGTATAAGTTCTATATACTCAGTCAGCGTATATAAATGTGTATGTGATTTTTGAATGAGGAAGAGAGTTCACTTCCTATAGGAAGGGAAAAAGCCTTAAAGGAGTAGTTCACCTAAAAATGAAAATGTTGAAAATTTACTCCCCTTCAGGCCATCCAAGATGTGGTTTAGTTTGTTTCTTCATCGGACAGATTTGGTGAACTGTTCCTTTTAAGAGTAAAGTGGGAGCGCATGGGAATGTTCAGAAGAGCGTACAACTCATACTAATCCCCCCACACACACACACATTGTGCAGTATGTATATAATAGACAGCATGCAGATTTTTTTTCCTATGGAATACCCGGATGACCTACAACATTTGCCTAAATATGTAGTATACAACAAAGTGCATGGGATACTTTATCCTATATGCAGTGCACTCATCATGACCTTTTTGTTTATTTTAAGTGATAAATGATCTGGAAGCAATATTAACTATGGTTTTCTTTAAATGACTTCTAAAAAAAAATTTTTTTTTTTTGACCGTTAAAGTACAAGTTTGCAGATTTTCAATCCGCTTTACCTGTAGTACATTCAAATGAACGGTGTGTACCCTTTATCTGTGTTAGCCTACCTACACCCAGATCTCCTGTTAGTTTGTCAGCTTTAGTGTTTTTGTTAAAACTACAAATTCCCACCCACGCACAGTTGCAGCCCTGGGCATTATGGGTGTTGAAATTTCCCTACATTTTTGGCTAAAGGGAATTTCATAGCCCCTTTTCTCAGTTTTTTCTAGTCATGTAACATTTTTTGCCCTTCTACTGCATAGACATCCAAGTTTAATTAAAAGCCCATCTTTCCAGCGGTGAATTACCCTTTCAACCCTTCACTAAGCTCCACCTCATTGGTTACTGTTGCCAACTCACACTTTACAGAATATCCCATATAGGAATGAACTGGAAATTTTCTATGAAAAGGTTTTTTTTTTCTTAGTAAAATTAACTTGATTGGATGTGGGCTAGAAATGACTTGCATTTCAAAGCACTTTTTTAAAAAAGCACTGCCTTTTTTTATTTAAAGATTTTTTTTTTTTAAAGAAATTGTTATTTGGCAACACTGTTTGATCTATAGAATAGAGCAAATTGTGAATGGCAACTATTGCTAAAGTAGGATTTGTTAGTAACATTTTCAAAGCAGATCACAGCCAAGCATCAATTATCTTTGACACATTTATGCAAAATTTAAATTAAATTACCCAAACATTATTCATGAGATGATAACCTAGTAAAATAATGTCTCCCTTACTAAAAAGGACCATTTTATACATGTGGTTTCAGTTGTTCCTAGGTTTTTTTTCATAATTTAGAATAAAGTTTAGTATGAGAGTAATTGGTGAATCATTATTTATTCATAAAGGCAGATTCGCATTTATTACATTTACATATATTTCTTGCTCTAAGTTAGGTTTCCATTCTGAACATATGACACACAGTCTCCTCTCTAGACAAAGTAATATCTCTTCTGCGAGATAATGGGAGAGTGTGTGTGTGTGAGATGATTACCCTCAGATGTGCCATATGTGTGAGTTTACCCACAGTACACACGGAGCCAAGAAGATGAAGGGAGTAGAACGTCCCCACACTTGTTCTTTTCATCCCTTTATTCTTTGAGGAAGAGGCACATGTATATTTTTGGGGGGCTGCGAGTGGTGCGTTTTCTCTCAGTAGGGATAATGCTAGTCATTAATCATCGTGTCTTGTGCTGAAACGGCCTCCCGCTTGAAATGCCACCGGGATCCGCTGCACCCAGCGCCCCCTACTGTTCATCCGCTCCGTTAACCGTTCGCGGGGGCCTCCCGCTGGTTCACACACCTGGAGCCAAGCCAGCCGACTGGGATATTTTTAATTCCGCTTCCCCTTTACCTCAGCTCTCAGGAATGCTCTCCCACCTGCACAGCGTCTGCTCGCCATTACTTTTATTTGAAATTCAGATCTATATTTGCTCATCAAAAACACATGCTACATCGGGTAAAATGCACACGGAGTGCTCGCAATGAGGAACATCTTGGAGCCCATAACTTAAGCTCACTGTTAAATTGCCCCAAACCATGTGAATATGTGTATCTGTGTTACAGGAACACAGGAAATACCTTCTTATTAACCAAGTTTTTGATCTATATGTCCATACATGACCTCTCGTATAAAGGCCAGTGCTGTGAAGATACGTTGGAACCAGATCCAAAGCGTCTGAGAACCAGGTCAGTTTCATTCAAGCTCACACACAATACTCCCATTTACAGTGAGTCACAAACACTCTTGTGTGACGTTGAAGTGGATCCTTGTTGGAGTGATGATGTGTGGCATCTGCGCACTTCATAAAGGCCTCATGCTCACGGGGGTCGTGTTATTGTTGTAGTGGGAAGTTCTTCACATCATAAATACGCCCCTGGGAAACACTACTTTGAGGAACTGAAACGTGCTTTCGAGGTAACGCGTAATTTACACACCAAACATTCCCAGAAGCAGATGCCTGTCTGACTGACTGGGGCAAATTGTGGACATAATGGCCACAGGCTTGCTCCCCCCCCTGTTTGAAACCGGAATTTGAACTGCATAAATAGGACAAATCTGCCCGGTTCTCCTCCTGGACCCCATCTCGGTAAGTTTGGGGGAAGTTTCTGTGATCAAAAGCATTGTAAAATGGTTCCAGGGCAGGATATTTCCTCCGTGTGTTTCTCAGGTTTAGATGGACAAGGAGGAAGAAAGGTTTTTTTTTTTTTTTAATATATTTTTTTATTTATTTATTTTTTTTCCTCCGCTTTTGCGGGGAGACCCCAGAGTAGGTTTTCTTGGGGTAACGCTACATTCCACAGCAGTCATGATAGTTGGGGTGGTCTCGTGTGTGTGTGTGTGTGTGTGTGTGTGTGTATATATGTTTGCATGTCTTCATGCTTGTCTCTCCTTAACGGGCCCAATGAAATGTTTTCAGCGAAAAGTTCAACCCTCATGTGCGGTATGTTTACCTTTTTTTTTTTTTTTTTTTTTTTTTTTTTTTTTTTTTTTTTTTTTTTTTTTTTTTTTTTTTTT